AACCAGCAGCATCAGGCCATCGGTGGATTGGACTACACAAGAGAGCTAATTAAACTTAAGGAGCCACAGACCCCTGAAGGCACAACACTGCAATCCCCAAGGCAGGAATCTGAGTGAGGGGGATGAGAACATTTGCATAGTGAAGCAGTGGAAAGTGGAAAGGTGCTTGCTCTTATTTATTGTAGGCACAACAGTGAGTTTATTAGAGCGACTTCTGAATCTGTCCTCACCATCAAACATGCAGAGAAGTATGAGTACTAAATGTCTGAGGACTCACTTAATATGGAATATTTCCATACACATGGCAAGAAACACAGATCATAAAATTTACTTAATCCAACAGGCTAGATCATGAGGCGATTCCTTACCCCAAGGAGCACTAACTTCCACCAATTATAATGTGAAATACATCTAAGGAACTCAGGGACAAGAGAAACTGAAATAGAGAGGATGCAGGCTGAGTATAAATGGGTGCCCAGTAGCCTTGTTTTGACTACATGCAAAACAAGTAGCATTATAACTGGAAATAACTATATTATATATAGTAGCATTATAACTGGAAATAACAATAATACATTGTAAAATAATTCCTTCCATTGCTTATCTCCCATCTGCTACCTTATTCTTCACACATCTATTACAGATTGCAGTATTTAAATCTTTCCCTGCAGCTTCATCACATACTTGGGAAGAGGAATAATATTCTCTTTTCTGGTCACTTTCCAAACACTGTGAAGAGAGAAACTTTTTCCCTCCATCTACCTTTCCAGCTGCTGGGAAGGAAGCAGAAAAGTTTATCCAATCCTTATTCCTGTTTAAAAAACTTTCTGATGTGTGGATCACTAAAGTATTTTTCAGCTAATAAGAGGGTCTAATTTGTAGGGCAAAGACATGAGTGCCAACCACAATATCAAATGATATTTTATTAGTCTGATAATCTTCTTATCATTTTAGGATCTCTGGGAGGACTCAGCAGCAATAAAATTCAGCACAGAGGAGAAGAAAAAGGAATCAGTGGCAGCTGTGTTACGTTCTGGATTGTCCTTAAACAAGAATACTTAAAGAATACTTTAATTACTTAGTTAAATTAATTACTTAAAGAGTAAGTGTTTCTGAATTTTAAAATGACAGAAACATCTTGCACCAGTGTGGTGGCATCATGCTAAGTCACCCAGTCACTCTTGTGGACTAAGAGAAATATAGTAATGGCCACTTTTAGCCATTTTTTTTAGCCCCTTAAAATAAAAACAGGTCCAGTTGGCAACAGCACATGAAAAGACCAACAGTCTCATTCCACTCAAAACCTCTGTGACATTTCCAAACCTGCTCCAGTTGGTGAAAATTTGTTGATGTCCCAGTAGGGAAAAAAACAACTACTACCTGGTTTTGGTGACTCAGACAGAATCGTACCAACCCTGGACCAAAACAATAACAATCCAAACCAAAAGCAACTTCCCACTCTCCCAAGAAACATTCCTAACACCCCATTCATGAAGAACAGTAGAAGAATTTCCTTCATCTCCTCCTTCCTCTCTCAAACAGGAGCTCACAGGTATTTACAAGGATCTGACACATCATCTGTAGCTGCTGCATAAGTATTTATTAAACTGCAGTGAAAGCTGGGATTGTGTGTCTTTTTCAATCTCACATTCACAATCCTAACCAATATTTCATATAAATTTCACCCCATGCTCATGGCTCAATGGGCAAAGCTGTTGTATGGAATGACATACAGTGTTATTTATAAATGTAATACTGTTTCTAAAAGTTTTACTTCTCATACACATCAGCTGTTTTTCTGAGCGCTTTAATATACTTACTAATTCGATTTTAGTTTTTTCTTTTACAATACAAAGCATTAACTACATCTCTGTGTAGATTAGAGACAAAAACTGCCATGTTTCAGTTGATCTTGGCTTTAAGCTATGAAGCAGACACTGCTGTCAAAAAGCAAACCCGAAATCACCTACAAATAGTACTGTAAATGCCAAACCCCCTGAAATTTTAGGTAAATTTTTAGGTTACACTTTATCTGCTACTGTAAGGAGGAAGCTTCTATTCTTATCACAACATTATTGTCCCTATCTTGGTAACATGTACATTTTTCTTCAAACCTGGATGTCCAAACTTGACATAGCACTGCATCAAGGAGCTCTTGGTGAGTCCCCACCTGGGGAAGGTGATGGCAGTCCCTGGAGATAATCCCAGCTTTAGGTAGCAGAAGGAGCTACACTAAGGCCAGCTGGAGATATTGTTGGTTTTCTCAAGTGAATTGTAAAAGGACTGAAAATCATGGCATTACACCGTGTTAGTTCGTTTTGTTCATAGTTGGTGTATCACAAAATGCAAACTGGTTTAAATAAATCACCCTCAATTTCACACTCCAAAGATACCAGGACTGATAACTCTCCATTTGTATTTTAAGACAAACAGACAGGCTCATCTGAAAATGTATTTATCTCATGTTATGTTAATTTCCATGTTCTAATTTCTTGAATAAAACACTGTGCAACACGATATCTTATGCAAGTCATTCACTAGTTGACCAGACAGCTGGGAATCTCATCACAGATGAAACAAGTTCCAGTTTTCAGGCTCTAGTTTCTGCCCCTTTACAAAGATTGCAATTAATCATTCTTACACTTTTTCTTAATATTTTTCTTCCTTGGGTCCTGTTCCAATCTTTGGATCAGACTAATAATTTAATTTTACTATAAAAAAATGCCATTTAATTTTCTTGTAGTATCTGTAGGTTTTTTTTCCAAAACCACTGGAATGCCTTCAGTGCCCCAAAAATTAAGGAAGGAAAACAATTATTGATGGTTAAGCAAAATCTTCAGTTTTAAACTCTGTAGTTCAACATATCCTGAGTAGGTGACTGATTTTACGTCTATGTTTCACAGCTTCTGTTTCACATCCTCCTTAGCTGACAGAACAGAATACGGTTATGACGGAACTACCCCTAGTGTTCACCTCTAAACACAAACTAAATCACCTGCTGAACACCACTGCTTTTTCAATTCCCAGTGAATTTTTTGGACGTGCACATGTGGAAATGCACTCTTACTATGCATATATGGGCATATACCCACCTGTCTTCACTTCCCTCCAAAGAAGTTATTTAATTATGATCTCCTCTCTTGATTGTGGGTTTCACCAATATCTACTAAAATGAACTCAAAGATCTTTTAATTCTTACTGACTCCTGCATTCCACACAATGAAACTCCAAGTCCAAAAGGAAAAGCAATTTCATGTTTGACTAAGAGATAGGAAAACTAAGGTAATCAGAAAAAAACCCAAATATAATCTGTATTATCTCTTATGTCTTACAGTCCTTAATGTTTCATGTATCTATAAGCTTCATTTATCCGCTCATTCCACTCATCCTTGAATCACTGTTTTCTCCATGGAGACATGGTCTGCCTCAGACTTCTTTTTGCATCTGAAAATCCTAGGCCAGACTTCAGATACTCAGCACATATCTGTGCTTTTCTACTGTTCATTGAAAGAGAAAGCTGTGCACACAGGGGGAGCATCACCTGACCTAAGTGATGCTCATTGTGCAGGTGCAACAATGCCATTACCTTGAAAAACTTTTATTGAGTTACCCAAAGGATTAAGTTTACAGTTTTCATATTATTTGCAAATTTTGCTGCTGGAAGAGCTCTACAGTCAGGACAAAATATTAACTATTGCAGCCCTCAAAGGCAAAAGAAAACACATTTTTGTTTACAACACAAATTAAAACACAGTTGTTATATTTTCCTATTACACTGATCAGTCCACAATTGGCTGAGCAGGGCAGTGGGGGCTGTTTTCATTTTTAAAAGCATGTATATCAAAAACTCATTCACTGAACTAGTTAAGTCCCCCTGAATCTAGAAAAAGACTCAACATCTTCCACTTTTCCTTGCCTTTTCACAAAACAAAGTATTTCTCACCTTGTCATCTGAAATGACCAACCAACATTTGAAAGCAAAAATTTCTGAAAAGCACAGAACAACAATAAATGATGTCTTTCCATTATTTCAATTTTCTCCATTTGCCTGAAAGCTCTGCTTAATTGATATTACCCCAGAAAGCCCTCAACAAACAGGCTCATAGGAGTGACAAAGCTGTTTATCACTGGTATCAGGGTCTTGGACACTCCTGGTTCCCAGGTATGCACAGAAAACTGGTGGTTTACAAAAACACAGTGTTGTCTTGATTACCTTTACCTACAGTGGAAATAAAAAGCTCCAGTGAGAGAACCCACAGAAATATATATATGTACACACACACACACACACACACATATATATACATACACACACATATAACCATATAGCAACTATCAATGCAGTTTTGAAACGTATTTGTCCTGTATATTCCTATTAGTTTGTCAAAAACTTGCCAAAATTCTGATTCACGGTATCTGGTATTGTAGAATGGGCCATCGCTGTATCCCAGACACTTTACAAGATTCTAGTCCTGGAAAGATTTGTCAAATTAAGTTTCACGAGCATCTTCACAAGACCAAAAATTCACTGACAAATTAAAGTGAATTCTGCTATAAATACATTTCTATTCCATTTACACACACAGCTCTTTTTATAGCTGTTAAACCTTCTCTCTTTCCATCTTTTTTAACACTATTGAAACTGTCAGGAACTACATTTTACACTTTATCAATCATTGTGCACACATCATGATTCCCAGAATTTCAAATGGAACTGTTGATGGTTCAGGTACTGTTAGACTGTCATTAGTTTTGCAAAGTGTGCAATTTGTCATTTTGGAAGAAGTGACAGTGCCTTCACTTGCGCAATATGCTTTTAAACCTCCTCTCTTCTAATTTGAAAATGGCAGTATTATCCTCTGCTTCAAGAGAGGTGTTTTTAAGGCTTGCAGGTTGGCTTGTCACAGAGCAATCTGTCAGGTAGTATTTTACCTTCCTTAAGGTTTATTCACATAAAGCCTGTTTGTGATATCACACAAAGACAATACTTTCTGTCTTACCTGATGGTAATGAGGCCTGTGTTAAACTTTCACTTTCCTCATCAGTGCTGGCATCATAGTCATTTTCTCTCTTTATAACCATCTGAGTAGTAGTTATATCATCCCTAGAAAACATTAAAAAATTGAAAAAAATTAGATATTTTTGTTTCCCAAAGGAATCAAATAATTCAGAGAGAATGTATATGAAAATTACCACCTATGGAAATGGCAGGGACACACTATGAATGGAAAATCAGCTGCAGCCCCACAGAAAACAGAACAGATTCACTGGATGTTTAGTTACAGCATCCAGAGCAATATGCTGCTATTTGCAGAGGTGCCAGGAAGAATCCTTCTCTCCCACTACTAACAGCATTGTTATGGATAACCCAACTCTCAGCCAGGAAGAACTGTCACTCCCTGTTAGGGCCAAAGGAATCCAAACTAAACTAAAATATGCACCAGGTAAGATACCAAGAAAGCCAAGAAATGTAAGGAATACCTGGTACATTTGGCATCTGCTGCAGATTCTTTGGCTTCATTCAGCAACTTCTGTAAGTTTCTTATCTTTGCCTTCTTCTCATTCAGCACCAGAATAAAACGGTTATAAAGATCTGCCTCCAGCTTCTCTTTAGCCTCCACACATTTTTCCAGCCTGCAATGTAAAATTAACTATTACGCTAATTCTTCTTAAAATAATTTGCTGTTTCCTGGAAGAAAATTCTGTAGTGAGGTCAGACTTCCTCTTACAGGAATCTCCATTCCAAACCACGCAGTACCAGTCCAGCACCTTGTGTCTGAAACAGCAGTTTTTCTTTTTCCCCCCCTCAGAAAAGTGAAATGAACTTTGCTACCAAAAGGGGAAAGTTTCCAACATTTCTCTTCATGCCTTTTTTTTTATGGGTTCCTGCACAGCTCCAACTAAAATTTAAATAGGCAAGTGTTCTTTATTTTCACTACTGAATCACCATAGTTGGTATACCTTGGCAGGATACACATCATGAGATTATAAATATATATGATTAGCTTGACAGGTCTCAAATTTGGACTACACAGTCTGATGTAAAATATATTTGAAGAGGGGGGAAAAAAATCCCCAAACATAAAAATGTTTAAAAGCTCTTAATTAGTATCTTCAGAGTAAAATATTCTTCATGTTTTTTAAGAAGTTTAATATGCACCTGTGAATAGGTCAATGTCAATAAAATGAAGCACATTGGAAATATAAAATTAAGAACACGGATGTATAATATCTCATAAGCAAAGAAAAACTGGAATACAAGCAACCATGAGCCCAAGAAATGACTTGTAGCAAATGCAATTCCATATTTGTTTCCTATATTTTATAACCTTTTAATCCTTGCATTGAACCACAAACATTTTTTTAGCTGTGTACACAACAAGCAAATAAACATCTTGATAATCTTACTGATCATGGTAAATATAGCAAATAGTCAAACTTATAAACATTCTTTTCACCAATCTGTGCAAGGTTGGTAAGAAAAGCTTAGGAGGCTTATTTTGTTATTAAACCCAAAAATGTAACAGATTTAAAAAAATACTCACTTATAAAGTAAGATATTTCAACAGACTTCCTACATAAATACTAATCAATTTGTTCACAGATCAAAACCATATAGCATGTAAGAAGAAAGGCAGTAGCAAAAAAAAATTAAATCTAATGAAATATTAAGTCCACTGTGCAATGCTTAAGGGATATGCTTGATAGTTGATAAATAATTCATCTAATTTAAATGCAAATAGCAGAACATCATTACCATATGGATCAGTTCAATAATGCCTAAATGAAAGATCATATGTACTAATCAACTACCAGGAGACTTTCCACCTACAAAAGGGAAGTTAACTGTTTAGTGGGAAACAAATAGACAACTCACAAAGAATTATAAACCCTAATAAAGGACCCAGAAGAGCCTGGACATGCTCAACACTAATTGTGCCTGTATACCTAAAAATTGGGTGAAAAAAAGCATTTTGTCTAAATATGCTAATCCTTTCTGTATCAAATCCTATAGAACAGTCCCCTCTCCCACCGAAACCAGCAAAAGTGATCACTGCTGTGCCTCTGTTTTGCCAAGCCACTGGTTTGTGTTGGAGCAGTTGGGGTTGGTTCAGACAGTTACATTAAGAAATTTTGCTCATTTGGCCAAAAAAAGTGCCATATAAAGATAATTTCAGTGAGGCCCTTGAATCCTGCAAAGACATCCACTGATGAAAATCCACGTAAACGGAAACTTCCAGTGAAGTAAAGCTGATGCTGCCTGTACTGTAAGTAGTATAGTACAGGAAACAATGGCAATTCTAGACAATTTCTTCAGTCTCTGGAGCAAAAAATTAGCATTTTGAAATATATATACCAACTGTCTGCATAGATTAGAATAGTAACTCTTCCTTGTGCACAAAACCTATTAGTTGTATGCCATCAGTTAATCTTATATGATTGCTTTCATTTACAAGAATACATTTTTTTGTTTTTCTCTTTTTAAAGTTATGCACATACAAACACATTCACCAGACACAGGTATGACATTAATTTGGCACAGCATACGATCAGTATAAATCAGTATTACAGTAATGCTGTATTTGCAAGTGATGAGCCTTTAAAATATACTACTATATGGCATATCTGGTACTAGAAAACAGAGCAGTGAAAAAGCAACAATCCTTTGCCACTTAGGAACAGGGATGCATTAATTATGTAGGTGGGGTGGCTCTGTGGAGCCTTTAGGATTCACTGAATCACCTGAATTACGTGACCACCAAGCAGAGCTGTCTGGGTTTCATTCCAATACCTCACAGACTACAAACACAAAATTTAATTGCAATTCACCACATGCTGCTGCCTGTGTGTGATTTGTCTTCCTGAAATACCATCTCCCCAGGCCAAAGAGAGGAACTGCTCATCTCAAAGACAACTTTTGAGCATGGTAAAATAAATGGAGGTTAATGGCTGGATTGGTGCTTTCCATTTTGTGTATCCTCAGATCTCTCTGCTGTGTGAGCACAATGCTTTTAATGTGCCAAAAGCACCTAGGTTGACAGGCATCAAAAGGCTTGCACAGCCCACTGAAACCAACCCCTATGACAAATAATAAATTGAGAAAACCAAGTTCTTTTAAGTGCTGCCTCAATGCAGAGCAATCACACACAATTCAGAGAGGTCAACGTGAACTGTGTAACTTACTGGCACTTATTTATTAGTGGCATTGTCCACAATCCAACACTAAGAAAAAAAGAATTCAACATCTCTGCTATTCACCCTTGTTCTCAGGGCTCTAAAATAATTCCTGGATCTCACAGCACTGCTTCATTGCATTTCAGAGTCATGCTTCCCACAACACTGGCAATGGTATGGAATCCTGATGAGCTAATGCTGAAGAGTCAGCTTCAAGCACCTAAGTACCTAGCTTGCATTTTTATAAGCTATTTGTGGTTTAAATATACTGTCACTGTAGCTGACCACAACATAAATAAGAGTTATTTTGAATTTGGCTTATCTACACCAATTTCAGATGTCTGAAAAAAAAATACATACCATGCCCAAATCAGAAATTTAATTGTTATTGTTCAAGGGATTATTTTGCTACAGATTATTACAATTAATAACAGGGTTGTTCCAACCCCTGTCCAACCTGGCCTTGAACCATCTATATGAAATGTGAACAACGGCTATTTTGCTCTGATATTTTAACTCATCTATCCCTGAGGTAAGCATGCACACACACGCATCCCCAGGCACCCACTTGCTCACAAAACCTCTGTGATGGTCAAGAAAATTGGAGCAGGGAAATGGAAATGGGATGATAGAACTACTCCATCCAGTGCCCCATGGTCAACCAGAATAAAACCAACCCTCAGAAGTGTGCCTGCTATGTTTTAATTCTAATGAAATCCTGAGAAAAGAGACTTTGAGCATAGGGAACTGCAAGGCTTGAGGCTGTGGAGTTGATATGCTTGAGCTCCAGGCGAGTCGGGAGCACAATTCTCCACATCACGTGCTTTACATTTGATGTTTTACCCACTCAACAACACGAGTGATACAGAATGTAAATCCTGAAATCCTGCCTGCTGAACAAAGGCAGGCAGAGCTTTGTTCAGCTCTGAGAAATTGAGTCCTGCTTTTGGAGCCAAAAGAGCAAAGAGTAGACTGGGCTGTGGCAAAAAGAATTTTAAAAACCCAATCCAACCAAACCAAAGAAAAAACCCAAAGCAAAAAAATAAGTCTCGCTGTTTGGGTGAAAATTATTTTAAAATTATTTTTCTTCTCCATTTATTAGACATGGCCAAAGACTGGTGACCATAAAACCTCCAGAGTTCATTTTGAAAACCCATGTTTCATCTATTCAAACTATAAGCACACCAAAGAAATCCACCAGCTTTCACAGCTTCTGAGAGCAAAGTTTGTCAGGCAACTGTGATTTTTTTTTTCTTTTTTTTCCACCTGTTCTTTGGGGTTACCTGGTAAAAGTGCCACCCCACCATGGAAATTGATACAAGCACTAATGCCTTTTACACATCAGCATGTAATGCAGTACTGGTTATACAATACACTATTGTTCAATTACACTGTTAAGCACTAAAACACTACTTAGGGAGGCCCTATGCCTGTCAGGGAGACTGTCAGGAGAAATTGTTACTCTTTTTAATGAGAGGGAAAGAAAACCATAAGTCTCTTTTTCAAGGTAAATTAATGCCAATTAGCTACATTCTTTCATCAATCTTCCTAAATGTGTTTTTTTAAAAGTAAAGCTATAGAAAAACAAGATAAATCTCTTGACTTCTCTGTGCTAAGAGTTTTATGCTGAAACGAGTGCAGATTCCTTCGCTATAGAGTGACAGACAATTCAGATCATAAATGCAACAGCAATTATAAAAATCTCTTGCGAAATATTGGCATTTTTTCCCATAATACCACACTAGTTTTCCAACTCTGGCTGCTTCCACAAGGCAAACAGATTGAAGCAATGGCAACTTATTTCCCACTCAAAAGTGTAAATAATTTAAACTGCTAGTGCTAAGAATTATAAAAAAATAACATTAAGGAAAAGGCTTCCTAATGAAAGTGAAGAGGCTTCAATAGAAATTAAGTGTTTGTTTGTTTTTAATTCATAAAGCTAAAACCAACTTTAACTGCAAATTTGTAATATTAGTTGTATCCTTGACAAAGAAGATCTACAACTACATGGGCTGGGGGCAACTGAGCTTGAAACACCTTCCAAGTGCATAAAAACTTGAGTTCACCTTGTGAAACTCACCTCTTCTCTGCATCACTCCAGTTGCTGAAAAGCCTTTCATTTTCTCTCTGCAGGTGCTCATTTTTGGCCTGCAGTTTTCCCAGGCTGTCCAGGCAGTAACCAATGAGCTCCTTCACCACCTTGGCCGGACTTGGGACCTCCTGCAGCTTCACAGAGCCAAGTCTGAACTAGGACACAAGGACAGAGTGTGTTATCCCAACTGCACAGGAAGGATCGCAAAACTTTGCTCCAATAAATTTTAATACTTAACAGTCACTTTGTCATACAGAGAATTGAGAAATGTGGAATAATCTACATGCCAGTTATTTGCAGAGGTGATGAGGGGTCTGGAGCATCTCCTTGATGAACAGAGACTGTGAGAACTGGGCCTGGTAACTCTGGAGAGGAGAAGACTGAGAGGGGATCCCATCAATCCACACCAATATCCCCAAGGGGTGTCAGAGGATGGTTCCAGACTCTGTTCAGTGGTGCCCAGTGACAGGACAAGGAGCAATGGTCATAAACCAAAACACAACAAGTGCCCCCTCAGCATGAGGCAGAACTTCTTTCCATGGACATGGCAGAGCCCAAAACAGCTGCCCAGGGAGGGTGTGGAAACATTCCAAATCCATCTGAACAAGTTCTTGTGTCACCTGCTCCAGGTGATCATGCCTGGGAAGGGGGTTGGATTGGATGATCTCCAGAGGTCCCTTCCAGCCCCAAATATCCTGGCATTCTGTGGTTTATACAGATAATATCTAAAATCTAATCAGCAAGTTGTCACCTCCAAGGTTCAGACAGCAAGATCTTAACAATAAAAAGAGTCCTTCAATTAAATAGGTAGCCTTGTTAATTCAGTGAGATTAAAAGACAGGATCTATAATGAACTATTGTATTTCTTCAGCAGTAGGGATGTTGTTCAGGGTACACAAGAGGTCTGAACAGATTTGTTCTGCTGTGTCTGGGAAAAACAACAGAAAACTGTTGGTTTTGTTATGATTTTTTATGGCTCAGCCATACATACAAACCAGCACCAGCTGAACTAAGTGTGCAAAGCTGGGTAAAGATACCCAAATACCCAACATGGCAGTTTGGGGCAATGGGAGAAGGATATTGAGGCTGCTTGAAGAGGGTCACACATGCTATCTGAGGAAAAGCAAATCAGAAATGAAGGGCCTGGCTTTGGTGCTCTGGAGTGGGCAGAGGATGGGGAATCTGAGCTACCTCAGGGCACACTTCTGCAGCTGATAAAGCCTACACAACACTCATGGGGCTTTCTGAGCCTCGCCACATCCAGGAGCACCACTGTCTGACTTGGCAGAAAACTGAGGGAGCAGCTCCTGAGAAATGCAGAGGTGCGCTGGATGACACAACCCAGATTTTGGCCAGCTCTAAACCACAATACAAGCAGAACTTTTGGGGAAAAAGGTATTTAAATTACTTGGCTTCCACTGGAAATGCCTGCAGAAACATCGAGTTGGTGAGGGGTACATAGAAGGAGAAGGGGTCCTCTTTTGCATCTTGTAATTATCAAAAAGACTGACATAAAATTTGACAGAAGCATTGCATTTCCCTATGAATAGAACTATTACTCATATTTTCAACTTGAATACACAGCAGTAACATCTTAAAATATATAAAAATGTAAGTGGTACATGCTAGGGGAGAGTTCAACCTGTGTTGTGGCTCCTCACCTATTAAAATCAGAAATGCTATTTCATTCCTTTTTCACCTCTTTTTGCTTGGGAAGGCAAGGAGAATAACTAAAAAAAGACATCATTAAAAAAAAAGGCATATTGTTTGTTAACACCTTTTTAATAGCAAATTTCACTAAGTTTTGCTGAAAAAGGCCTGGTAACACAACTGCTCATAAAGATTTCAAAGGTATTGTTTGAAACAAGTAACAGTCCTTCAAGTTGGATCTTTTATCTGTGGAAGTCTCTGCCAACAACACATGATACCATCATGACCTTCTCCAGCAAGGTCAGTCTATTAGAAAATGTGACAAACCCAAAGGTTTAATTTCCAATTAACCATATATCTTTCCTGCAAACTCACATGTGCTGTCTCTAACGTGTTGTTGTCTTTAGCTGACATACATCTGATGGCTGCGGATGAAAAGATGCTTTCAATTTATTTTTGAAAATCAGATTACATTATCAGTGACCCACAGATTGGCATGTATTCCCTGAATCACACTTGCTGTCTGACAGCATTAACAAAGGTGGACATTTGCATAAAGGAAACTGTTTTTCATCACTTGCAAGCCACCACCACACTATTTGGATAAAGGCTTCACGGCACACTTGAATACTTCCCACAGAAATAGAGAGGCACAGTAGCAGAGATAAAACAGCCACACAATCTCCTACTTGTACTGTGAAGGAAATAGCAAGGGGAGTACATCACTTTTGTCTTATGCTTTAATATAATCAACTGAGACAAGGTATTAAACAAATACGTTTAAATGGGACAAATAATCACAGTTTTCTCTGCACAAAAGAACAAAATATGCATAATCCTAAAAAACAGGTTTAAGTGAGTAGCAACAGATTTCAGCTGAAAGCCTGATACCACTGCCAACTAAAATCACACCAAACAAAAATCAGACATTTCAAAAGCAATTGTAATTATAAATAAACCAGAGACACAGAGAATTTTAGTTGCCCATCTTTCTCACTATCCAAGTCCAACAGTCTTTAGCCTTTAATTCACTCTTTATGCAAAGCAATTGACTATTAACTACTTTCTTACAACAAACTTCATCGTTCTGTTTTCTGTGTCTCAGACACTGCATGGACCATTTCAGTTCTCCTACATATTGCTTAGTTTTTCCTTGCAACTTAACCAAGAAACAGCCTAGTTATTTGTCCTTCATCACCAAAACCACAGTAGTGACACTGAAAACAATTCTAGGAAAATTCAGTAGAAGTGGTTGAAGATCACGATACCATAACAAAGAGTTAACTGGGTGGGATATCAAGGTAAACAGACCTTGCTCACTGCGGGAGTGAATGAAAACATCATTAACACTTTACTGAGCTAATCTGACACACAAGGTGTCTTTAGTTTGGATCATGTTTCCAAGGTGATTTTGTAAATTTGTAATGATAAATTTTAATTTTTTGTCAGTTTTGTAATTCCTGCACGTTGCTGCTCCCCAGATCAATTTAAATTTCTCACCATTCTTACAGTTGCTGTGGCTTCCTGGCTCTGTATCATCTGCAGATGTAACTAATGTGCCTTCTGCTTCCTCTTTCAGATCATTCAAGGAAACATTATGTAAAACACTGAAGCACTAAACACTTCATTTATACAGACAAGGAGCAGCTCTGCTAGAGGTCCCAGGGGACAGCACACTGACTGTGACTGACACACTGCTCCCCTTCAATAGCTGTTTTATTGTTTGTGGGGATTTCTTTTAAATTGTTATTTTTTTAAAGACATACAAAGATGAACACAGACAGACTTAGAAAACTGTGTTCCAATAATCAGAAATCACAGTCAACATGTATCACTGGACCATATTTTGAGCTTAAGAAATAAAACCAAGAATTAGAAGCTTATGACAAAAATGTCCTTTTCCCATCACCTCTCACCTTGCCCATCTTCTACAGATGAAGAAAGCAGTGACCTCAACCGTAAGACACAGAATATTTCAGAAGGAACTGAAAAGCTTCTTTAGTAATTTTTCTTCTACTTACTTATGCTTACAGGAATATATTTTCCTTCACATAGGAAAATAAAAGTTATTGAAATATGAGACAACACACATTTTTCACAGAAAACTCCAAAGCTGTATGAAAATAACTTCATTCTATAGGGACATTAAAATTTACTTTGAATTAAATATTATGTATCTGCTATATAATCTTTGCATTACTACATTGCACTAAAAATGAGTTATCTTATCCAAGGCAAAAATTACCAGAGGTTATGCACTGAAAGGAGGAGCCACTCACACAGCAATGCCTGCACACTCTCTGAGGCAGAATCTGAAGCTCAATACTAACAGTGAGTTAATTTCCAATAACAACAATTTTTCATTGTGACAAACTAGTCTAGAATTAAAAAAAAAATCATGGTGGAAACTCTTATTTCATGTGCTTTGCTGGTCATGATCTCTCTCTATATTACTTAAGTATCCTAACAATCCTTTCTAATAGTGTTTTTTTAATACAAAATATATTTAAGGAATTCTGTACTTCCACAAGGTAGAGAAAATATTTAGGCAGATTTTGTCATTTCTTTTCCTGGCAGGATAGATACAGTGTTTTTGTATATGTATATATCTATATCTATATATCTATATATATACATGTATATGTGTATGTGTGTTTTTATATATATATATATATACACACATATATATACACTGTGTACATGTGTGTGTCTCTTCTATTAAATCCTAACCTATAATATTTCACTTTTTCCTTCTCTGTTTTGAAAATTAATTAACAATTAATTTTTAGAGAGATCACACTTACAGGTACTTAGGTCTGATTTTGAAATGAAGATATTCCTAGTGTGTGAACTCACTGATGGAGCTCTAATTGTACAAGTCAACCTATAGCCTGTAACAGAATCACCTCTAACTCACCTCACTCAACTTCCACTTTTCCTGCCCCTGAACAGGACTCAGACATCCCTGTGCTTTGTTTCCAAGATAGTATTACAAGCTGTATTAGCACACTTAGGAACACCTACATCCTTGCAGACAGAAGCTGCCTCTTGCAAGGAATTGCCTAAGCAACATCCTTTCACCAGGGAAATATTAAAGGAGAATTTGAGGGGAAAACAAAAACGTTGGAGCAGCCCACCAGCCTGGAGCAGCTGCTTCATCCCCACCTGGCTCTGTGGGGACCCGCAGTTTGTAAAAGCAGCTATGGCCCCTGTAATGAAGCAGAAAAACCCTGCAGACCCAAACAACAACAAATTTTTTTGGCATCGCCCTGTCCCAAGCACAGAATCCCAGAATGTTAAGGGTTGGAAGGGACCTTAAAGCTTATCCAGTGCCTCCCCATGCCATGGGCAGGGACACCTTCCACTATCCCAGGTTGCTCCAAGCCCTGTCCAACCTGGCCTTGCACACTTCCAGGGATGGGGCAACCTTTGCCAGGGCCTCCCCATCCTCACAGGCAGGAATTTTTCCTTCATATCTTATCTAAATCTGCTCTCTGTCAGTTTG